CCGGAAGGATGGCCATCTGTGCCTGGTGCAGGCTTGTGTGCAGAAAGACGAAAACTTTTTCGTCCTTGTTTTGGCCGGCGCCTGGCGCAAGCGCGTGGGATACGTGGACGTTTGGCAAAAGCCAAGCGTGGCCATGCTCATCCCCTTAGAAAGGCCATTTCCTGCGTGCATCGCCTGGAAGACCGAAGGCGAAGACACACTGACTCTGGACTACCACCATGGAAAGTAAAAAATACAACTGCGCATGCAATCCCTTGTTTTCTGCGGCCAGGCCGCTTTTTCTTTTCGCGCCCACACAAACACGACACAGGCTCAGTATACTATACAAGACTGCTTGCAGACCTGTCTCCGCACACGCCATGGCCAAGCGCGCGGCAGACGGCACAGTCAAAGACACAGAAGTGAAGCCCGAGCCGGTCGCAAACACAGAGAAGGAGGCGGACGGCAATGATGAGCAAAGAAGCCCAGTGATGCTTGAGCCAGTGTTTGGCATGTGCCATAATTGGTCTGACGACGACTGTTGATAGACTTCCAAGGGAAGGTGGCCAAAACAGACGTGTTGCTACCTTGCGGCTTTGCCGTTGCATTTTTGTTCGCATGAGATCATTTATACAAATTATATATTTTTGTTTTTTAAAAGAAAATATTGTAATTTAACTTAGACTTAGCTTGTACTTATAAGTCCAAGCCAAGTCCAAGCTAAGTCCAAGCTAAGTCTAAGTTAAGTCCAAGCTAAGTCTAAGCTAAGTCCAAGCTAAGTTGTCTTAGCTAAGTCCAAGCTAAGTCAAAGCTACATACTTATAAGTACTTATAAGTCTAAGTTAGACTTAGCTCAGCTTAGCTAGCCAAGGGGCGGGCAAGTAAGTTTGTACCACCTGCCTCGTCTTCTTCGCTGAGGTTCTCCCAGCGCGTCATGGCCAAAAATGAAGCTCTGTATGCTTTCGTCTATGTGTTCGTACAGTGCGGTGTTCTTTGTCTGTTTAATTGTGTGACACGAGTACGTGCTTTCAAATCCAGCGGTGTAACGGCATGGTAGGAGCGATACACTACATGATAGATAAGTTTGTACCACCTGCCTCGTCTTCTTCGCTGAGGGTCTCCCAGCGCTCATGACCAAAAATGAAGCTCTGTATGCTTTCGTCTATGTGTTCGTACAGTGCGCGGTTATGATGGTGTCACCGGGTACCTTGTGTTTTTGCGGCAGTGCGTTTACGCAAACTGACATGTTTTTACAGCGAATGGCTTTGACGGTTTTGCAGTGTTCTTTGTCTGTTTAATTGTGTGATACGAGTACGTGCTTTCAAATCCAGCGGTGGGCAATGGTAGCCAGAAATTCAAACGAAAGCTGATAAACAAACACGTGAAAGGGCACACCAACACAGGAGCCGGGCAGGGAACACATTGTCCAGGACTGAAAACACCCAAACCTGGGAACCAAAAACACCAACACAGGAGCTGGGCAAGGAAAACACCAATCCAGGAACTGAAAACACACAGACCTGGGGGGGAGAACTCCGGGAAGGGAAACACCAAGAGTGGGAACCAAAAAAACAATACAGAAGGCGGGAAGGAAAAACACCAATCCAGGAACTGGAAACACCAAGACCTGAGAACCAGAAACACCACGGGAACCGAAAAAACCAATCTGGGAAAAGGAAACACCACGGGAAGGGAAAACACTAATCTGGGAACTGGAAACACCCAACCCCTGTGGAGGGAAGCCTGCGCAGTCGAAATGCACTTAAAAAATTCTGGTGTGAGTGAATGCATGCTTAGATGATCTGGCGTTTGCTATCAACTTAACATAGTTAGCCTGAGTTAGCTAAGTAGTTAGCTGAGTAGTGCTGGGAGTTAGCTAAGTAGTTTAGCTATGCATTTTCATTGTTTTGATCTTAAGTCAAGCCATTCTGGCAAAGAAAAACAAACATGCACACAGAAAAAGATGTGATAAAACAAGACGCAATTCCTTTCGAAAAGCCTTTATTGGCCAGTTCACTCCAAACAACAGGCATGTTGCAAGTGCCTTTATATTGCTTGGTGTTACCCATGCAAAATGTTTTATGGTCATGCATGGAGCCTTTTATGGCAAAGGCCTTTTATGGCTTGAGCATCAAACATGCAAAGTTTCGCCATTTGGCATTTTGCAATGGTACATTGGGGCAACAATCACGCACATGCCTTAGAACATGGCATTCCTGCGCATGCCCTGCAGCTGGTCCTCCTCACACTGCCTGACCTCTTCTGAAAACTTGAGGAGATCATCGAAGTTCAAGACCACCTTGTGTTTTTTTGGGGTGCTCTGGAAGGCAGCATGCAGCTTGTAGACAAGCTCCTCCACTTGGTGAGCCAGCCATTGCTCCAGTCTGCTGCCACACAGGCTGCGCCACACTGAAGGCACTTTGTTTGTAAGGGTTCTTGTAGCACTTCTCTTTGAAGTTCGGGAAACAAGTGTTGCGCAAGAGCTGCGCATAGAAGTACCCAACAACCCGGTACTCCTCCAGCAGCCATAGCCGGTGCTGATCCAGCTGGGGCTGAACCAGCGGGTGAACTGGCCGGAGCTACACTGGTTGCTCCCGCCAAAGATGCTGCTTTGGCCGCCTGGGCCACAAGCGTCGATTTCCGTTGTTCGACGTCCACAAGAGTCTTCATGGTGGCACAAAGGTTCTCCAACAAGGAGTTCGTCTTGTCCAACGACTTCCCCTGCTTCACCACGCTCGTGTCGAGCTGGCTGAGGATCTTTCCGATCGAAAGGAGACTTTCTTTGGTGGAAGTGTTCACGGACTTCCCCACACCACTCAATTGCCACTGCACGTCTCCAAGGCTTTTGGCAGACTGTCGAGCAGCCTTAAGTTGTTCGTCTTGCGTGTGACGAATGGAGCTCGACAAACCAATGACCCCATTTGACAATTCATGGAGCTGCTCAGCCACAGTTTGTCTCTGATGCCAAAGTCTATGGTATCTACTCACAAACTGCTTGCAACAGTGGTAATTGTTGTCATACCTCGTCATCGATCTGGAGATTTCCTCCTCCCAGACCATCAACTCTTTCATGGGCTGCAACACAAGCAAGAACTTTGCCATGGGATGACTCTTTCAGCTTGACTTTGGGCCAAAACTCTATAGTCAGCTGAAGGTTAGACCACAAATCACAATGCTAAAGCTGAAGCTAGAAGATTGCAAGGCAAAGGTTGCACAAAGCCTTTAGGCAGCAAGTTCACAACATACTGTATCATTGTCACTCTTGTTCAAGCAGCGGTCAACACTGTGTTCTAGGCACGCATCTTCAATGAATCCGGGAAAGATCTTGGATGAAGGAACCCTGATGGGCAATTCCATTTTGCCAGAGACCCTTGTTGGGTCAGCATTGGGGAGTCATCTGGTGAGGCTATGGGGACTTCGACCCCCACCTCCCACAATGCCTGGCATACACTTTGCTTGTGCATCCTGATGCTGGTGCCCTCAGGCACTTTTGCCCACACAACCATAGGGAGACTCACCACTTGGATCAAATTGCAAGGCTTTTCTTGATTTTGTGTTCATTTTTTTCGACTTCATTTTGAAAGGATTGTGAACTTGTCAAGGAATGCCTGGCACATGTTAGATGCGCAGCCCTGCCAAGGCGATTCGCAGCAAGCGCACTTCCACAGACAACATCAAGCTGCCAAAACGCAGGTTTCGCTCGAGACTTCCTCCTATTTCTGAACACGAGCCACACATGTCCAAAGTATGTCAGAGCACGCCAAAGACCACCACCATGTCCAAAGTACCGCGCCTGCCACAAAATCTGTACACCAACATAAAACAACCCCGATCTCGTTCACCTGTCGCGAGAAGTTCACTTTAGACCACCAATACACGAGGTTTCCCGTGCGCCTGCCACTAAAAGTGATCACCAAGTCCGAACATGCGAGCCCGCGCTGTCGAAATGCACTTAAAAAATTCTGGTGTGAATGAATGCATGCTTAGATGATCTGGCGTTTGCTATCAACTTAACAGAGTTAGCCTGAGTTAGCTAAGTAGTTCGCTAAGTGGTTGACTTGGAGTTAGCATGAGTTATGCTAAGGACTTTGCTAAGTAGTGCTGGGAGTTAGCTAAGTACTTAGCTATGCACTTTCATTGTTTTTGATCTTAAGTCAAGCCATTCTGGCAAAGAGAAACAAACATGCACACAGGAAAACTATGTGATAAAACAACACACAACTCACACGCCGGCCTAAGAAAAAGAAGCCTAAGGAAACAGAGTATTGCAAAACTACAAAACGATCGATACGACGAACAGGTCGAAATGACGGCGGCCGCTCTTGTCTGCAGAATGCACTAGCCCTTTATGGAAGATGAGGGTGACAGCTTTGTCAACAGTTCCAGAAGCAGGTACACCAGGTTGATCAGACCTGGCTTCCACTATCACGCATAGCTTCGTTGGCATGCATTTGCGTGATAGCCGCATGCCCCCTGCTTATACAGCAATCAAACCTAACAATCCAACAGGAACCTTGTGACTCCAAAGGTTACACACACACACACACACTGTTTGGGGAAAAAGAGCTGAATGCCCGACTGCTCCTCTGCTGCGAAACTGCTCTCAGCTAAGCGGAGAATATGAAGATCCTGAGATCTGTTAGGCCCACTCGATTGGTGGAAATTGGGGAAACAAAACAACAGGAGAACTGAAGTTGGAGGAACAAATCAACAGGAGAACTCCAGTTTTATGGAAACTTCGTTAGTTTGGCAATGAATGGAAGTCATTGCAAGTCACCCAAGACTTAAAGCTACCACATGACGTCCCAAGTTCTGTGGCTTTTTAGGCGACCTACTGTTGGAAAGGCCCATCCACTCCAGCAGTAGCCTCTTCATATTATGTCTTCATGCAGTAGTCAGGATTCTTCCGTCAACAGTGAGGAAAACACATGAATTTGTAGTTGTAGGCCGGGCTTGGATTACACCATTGATTCTGCGCTTTAAGCCGCTGTATCACCAGCAAGTCAATGCTGAAACCAGGCCTCCTCCAAATATTCATCTTCCGCAAGGACAAGTGGAGGGATTCCCTGGACGCTGCTGTACGGAACAAACCATGGACAGCTTGTTTGCAATTCCAGGCACCCTTGCAACCTGGCAAACAAAACCTGCCCACCCACCCCAGGAGGAAATCACCCCATTCCGGGAAGTACTGTAGACAATCACTGGTGGAACAGCGGAATTTGATCCTTTCTTTGCGTGTAAATAGGAACGTTAGGATGGGAACTATGGAAAACTTGCTGGCTGTGGCAGGTCACACCTGCCGGCCATTTTCAACATCATCTTAGGGGCAATATATTAATTGTATGTTGTTGGCAGGATTCCTTTCAGTCCCTTCCTGTTTATGGCAAAGTGTTCATTGTTTGCCCTTTTGACTCAGCCAAACAGCCTTATTCTGATGAAATGGACAAGTATCAACAGCTTCCAACAAACTCGTCCTACGAGCATATTTACCACAAAAAGCAGCGGTGATTTTCAACAGTCGACCATACTGTTTGGGAAATGGTTTAAGAAAGAAATGTTTTGGACAATAAGAATCGTTAACGTGCGTTTCAATCATATCATTTCCCCAAATAACCGGTGATGACAATTTCCCTCCAACCACGCAAGGTGAGAAGAAACAAGGTTTCTAAATAATGAAATTGAATCTGACTGAAATTGAGACTTTTCGACTTTCCTTTAACATATGCAACCATCAATCAACACTCCCCCGCAACAAAAACACACAAACATCCACGTGTGGATCCCAGTTGCCAATTGAAACATAAACATAAAATGAACCGAACTGAGGTCACGTGGCTCCCCTGAGAATGATGTTCTTGGTCTTGTGCTTCGACATGTCGCAGCTCATCACGGCGGCGTGGACCGAAGACGGACGTGGAGTGTCATATGGTGTGAATTCACCGGGGGGGTCCTCAACACAGCACTGGTATTGATGGTCCCTCTGGTCCATCTGATTCTGTTCATTGAGAACTTCCCTGTGATTGGGTGAAGGACATTGGTTGGGGCAGGGAATGTACAATATCACACCCACTTGTGAGAGGTTCCTTCTTGCCTGGGAAACGAAGCCTCATCAACAAGCAAAAACCATCTGGACACTAACTGCTGTCGTGTTAAGCAACGCTTCCTCGCGCCCATGCACTCTGCGCCCATGCGGGTTCGGGCACCTCGTCCCCGAACACCACCCGTCGACCGGTCGCACCGGTGACCGGCCTTGTCCCCTCCTGGTCCTCCAAGGGACCACTTTGACCCGTCCTGACCGAGCGACCGTGGAGGGTGAGGCTCGCGCCGGTGACCCGTGGGTTCGGTTCGATTTGGATCCGATCGGACGGCGCCTGCCTGGTGCCGCACCGTGCCGTGCCGTGCCGTACGGTGCCATCCAGAACAAGCACAGGTGTTTTGGCCAAAGACTGACAAACGGGTGGCAGGTTTTCCACATGTTTGCTTTGAAATGCTTTGAAAGAGCTGTGTGTTCGAGGTTCCGGATCCAGTTCTTGCACCGTTTTTTTGAGACCCGTGACCATCCGTGACCCGTCAACTTTCCCGGTGAACCGATGCTACAGGGAGTGGCCGAAACAACTGTACAGCTGTCAACACTGCTGTTGCGTTCATGCACGCATCGAAGATGTGGCTGGATCCAGCTGAGAGTGCCTTGATGACAGGCCATTGCTTGATGTTGTTTTCGTCTCTGCTCGAACCTTGCAAAGCAAGGCAAAACCAATTCCCTGATGCCGCCCAAGGCAGCCGCGCACGTGATACATGACTTTCGCTCCAGCGGTGAAAATCGCAGCCCAGTGAGATGAGCTGGGCTCATCTCAGCCCAGTGTGCCGACAAAAATCCCAGACACTCCATGGGACTGGCATATTTACCGATCAGTTGGGGTGGTTGAAGAGGGATCAATTGATCGGCATATATGCCAGTCCCATGGGTCGTGTCTGGGTATTGGTTGAGGAGTTATGAGGAATTCAGGGATGGATCGCCCAGTTGTGACCGCATGAGCCAGCATGGATCGCCGACAAAAAACGGTGTCAATGAATGAAACCTCTTGAAAACATAATCCCCGGGTTTGCAGTACATACATATACACAATGTGCACATCATGAAATACATATCGTACAGTTTGCAGGATCCATTTTTGTAGGTGGGTCCATTGGTTGCCATGCCCTGATTTCCAGTGGCTTGGCTGTGCCAATGGTCAAGATGTACTTCCAAAATCTTCTGGCAGCCTTTTCATTGCTATGCACATCCCTGTTGTTGGCAAAGGAAAACCCAAAATGCGAGTAGCATCCCTGTGTTTCCTAACCATTGCAGCTGCACACCCACCACTGGGGCATGGAAGCGGTTGCACAGACATCCTCATGAGTGGTTCGCCATGGCAACATGTTCCTTGGGCAAAGATCATTCTGCCGGCGCGATTGAGCGGGTCTTCTTCAGGGCTGACACGAATGTCCTCGAGCACCGATTTCATGTTTGCTTCCGTAAGTTCGATGAGCACATCCCCTTTGAGCTGAAATGCGCCTTCGATGACCAGTTCATTGCAACAAGCACCTTTATGGCCACACACTGTCCCCTGACCAGCCTTTCATCAGCTTCTCGAGCCTCTCGCAACTTGTGGTCTGGAGCAGGCTCTTCTGCCTCTCTCGTGGCAGCCTGTAGTGTTTGATGGCAGTAGAGTCTGCATGGACCTCCAAAACTGGTTGCAGCCAAGACTGACTTTAGTACCTTGCTTGGTACTTCTGTTCAGGCCTTCTCCGCACATGGGGGAGCCCTGTCGAGCACGGTGGTGCCTGGTCAAAGGCCGCTTTCTTCCTGTTGCAACAGCAGCCTGCCCGGTTGAATGCCTCAAGCATCGGTAATCCTCCACAACTACCTCCACACAATCATCACCACAGCAGTGCGCCAACATGCCAAACCTGTATATACCTGGATCATCCTGGATCATCACCACACCAGCACACCAACACTCCGCTCGAACCATCTCGAACCTTCAATCTGAACCACCTCTGCCCTTCTCTGCACTTCAGCCTCAGTGCTGCAGACCTCCAACGAAAACCGACACTTGCTCCTCCTCCCAGACCTCCAGGTTCAGTGACCGTCAACAGGACCCTGGGAGACCGGAGACCTGCTGCTTGTCTAGTTCGGCTTCTTCAAGCTCTGTTGCTATGCTTGTGTTTTCTGAGGAGAGCGCGCTGAGGAACAACAAAATTGAATTGTTTCTTCAAACCTTGAATGGCACTGCACCTAAACAACCCAAAAGGGACATTGACACCCTGGCTGAAGGAAGGAAGCAAGGAAGGAAGGAAGAAAGAAAGAAGGAAAGAAGCAAAGAAGGAAGGAGTGAAAGAAAGCAAACAAGAAAGAAAGAAAGAAAGCAAGCGAGCAAGCAAGCAAGAAAGAAGAGGAAGGAAGCAAGAAGGAAGATGTCTTTCTCTCTTTCTATAAGGCCTTTTGACCCTTGTTTGGTCTTTCTTTCTTTCTTTCTTTCTTTCTTACTCCCTTTTAATTAATTGTTTCTTTCTTTTCTTTTCTTTCAAGCGCAAGCGCACCGATGTCTTGACCCCGATCTCTCAGAGCACGGACACAGAGCACCGTGAGCACGCACCGAGACACAGAGCACGGACACGGGCGTGGTCCCTCCACTACCAAAAAAATAACAGTGTAGGTTGATCACATTTTGTTTTAATCTATGACTTCTCTACCGCAAGCCTGCTGATTCGCAGCTGGGCGCCCGGGTCCGATTTAGCCAACTGCAGCCTGCGTCAAACTAATCGTTGGAGATTTCAGGGTTTGCTGTCGAGTCTCAGTTCATATTTTGCAGTGTCACTGTGACTTTGTTGTGAAGACACAGTTTTTATGGCTGCGCTTCAGACTTGCTTCGGGTACGCAGCAGCGCTTGGGGAGAGTGAGATGTAAAGGGAGAAAAAGCGACCCCCCATACCAGAAGTAAGTCAGTTCTTCTAGATGAGTTTGTGAGTGGTCATGATGGTGGACCATTATGAGGATGGTTCTTGAAGATGAGGAGGACCAGGGTGTTGCCACGAAGATGTCAGGAATGAAGGAAAGAAAGCAACAAGAAAGGCATACGCAGGAAAGACTTTAATCCTGCTCAGCTCTGTGTACCTGCATGCCTTTTTCAAACACCTGCAAGGACCCCAGTCTGATCAGCTCTGTGTACCTGCAGCTGCTTCAAAAACATGCCACCTACCTGATCAGCTCTGTGTACCTGCAACTGTTTCAAGGCATTTTCCATTGACATGATGAGATTTCTGATTGACACCTGCCACTCCTGATGTTATACCTGGGCGAGCCCTCCTTAGAAAACCCAAGTATGCCATGCTCTTCTCAAAAAATGGCCCAGTCCTCCTCCCAGACACTTGTCCTCCCAGTCCTTCCTCCCAGTCCTCCTCCCAGTCCTCCTCCCAGTCCTCCGTCCTTCCTTCCAGTTTCGACACCACACCGTTCCTCCCGTCCCCGGAACTCCAGCGCCTCGTAGCGGAACTCCACCCGGTCGATGGCGCCGCCCGCGGTGATCTTCACGGAGGCCACGCGACGCCTGCGGAGGGGGGGGGGCAGCGAGTGGCCGGGTCAGGGTGGATCTGGTCCCTAGGGATCCAGTCGTACCGAACCTCAGAACCCTACACATCCAACGACGCAGTCATAGGGGTTTGGCAGGGTCATGGTTGTGGGTGGATCTTGTCCCTATAGGGATCCAAATACCTTGTCCCGGGTCAGGGTGAGCCATAGGGGTTTGGCAGGGTCATGGTTGTGGTTGTTTTAGACCCTATAGGGATCCAGTCGTACCGAACCTCAGGTACGGTAATTGGACCCTCCTGGTGCCTAGGGTAGAAGAAACCCCAATCACCGTACCTCAGAGGGTATGTGGATCCATAGGGTGTGTGGGTCAGTCTAGTCTTTCTGGCAATTTGGGGGGTGGGACTCGCCCTAGTAGTAGGTGGAGCCTCCACATGTGGTTGATGTTTTTGGAAGGGGGTCTCAGTCTTTCTGGGATTCGGGGAGGACTGGACCCACAACGTTGGAAGAGTTGGACGGGCACAGTGGCACCACTAAGTAGCTCAGTTCGGCTATAGGACAACTTTAAACCAGTGGAGCCACCTGGTTTAGTTCGGGCTTCTTCCATCAACCCTCGTGTTTCTTACACCGCTTTCCTCATCTCTCCAAATCCGGGAACCAACGGATCCCAACCGTTTTTTCCCACCAAAGAGTTGACCCAACTCTGGACCGACCCTTTTGGGTGACCGGTGCAGGACCCAACCCGTCCACCCGTCCAACCCCGTTGGAACTCAGCAAGGGCAAGCCCCCCCACCTGATGCTTCTAAGCATCTCATGCCAAGGCTGGCGACCACCTGTATCTATCGACTACCAACCATAGACCTACTAAATATCTACTGGATCTTCTCTGCTCAAGCTAGGAAAAACACCAACACACGAAAACCATTGGAAGAACCAGGCCTGGGCCTGGCTATTAAAAAAAAAAACATCAGCATGTCATCACAACATGGATCTGGCGCGACATGCTTAACATTTGCTTAATGGGTTCTCATCATTAACCTTACACATGTGTGTTTGCTGGTGACTCGGTTCTAACACCACTCCCTCCACGTCTGAGCATCACAACATGAGCACTGCACGCCTGGGTGGGGGTCCCACCAGTGCATTCTCCGCCGACACCGACGCCTCCTGCGACGACACGCCTATAAGGTCTGTTCGGGCCTCCCCGGTCGTGAGAGATTGGTCGCCCGGACAAATCATCCACTGTTGCGTCCTATATATATTGCGGTCCTAGTGAGTTGGAGCTGTGACATTAACCAATCTTATTGCCGTCGACCGTCGAAAAGGTGCCAAAATTTGGGATTTTCCTTAAAAGGAATCTTTATAGGTTGATTCCACGAAAAAGCGTCCTCGGGCGGAAATCAGTGTTCGACCGTTCAATCTGAGCCATAGGGTTTGGCAGGGTCATGGTTGTGGTTGTTTTAGAAATAGTCTGAAAGTATCTGAACATGTCACGGGCAGAAATCTGTGGAAACGGGCGGAATTTGGCGGAAAAAGGCGGAAATTAGCGGAACTCATTTTGGACTTGGAGGCCAAACGTCCTGTTCAGTCGCGGCGTGAGTCACTAGAAAAACATAGTAACTACTCGCAAAACATTGTAACTACTAAACGGATCTCAACAGAAAGAGCAGGATAACGAAAGGCACCACCTAGACTTAAGGGCAACAGCGCTTTGGAATTGGACAGTACCCGCACAAGTACCCACGTACCCCGCGCCCGTCCCGTCCTGTTCGCCTGATCCTGTCGAGTCAGAGGAGCGAACCAAAACGCCGTCGTTGAGACCGGGGGCCACCGCTTTGGATAGATGATGCCGCTTTGGATGTACCTATAAACGAAAATAGTTCTAACAGTAGTTCTAACATTATCAGTTTATGTCAGTTTGCTTCATCTTCACTAGGCGGAGTTTGGATCCTCTTCCATTCAAAACTTCTCACTATCTAAACGAAGAAAGTGCTTTACAAACACCACAGGCCACAACCTTTTTGTGAGATTTTGTTACTTCATATCCAGCCCCACACATCGGACGAATGGAACTGGAAGAGTGAAAAACCCTGCCGTCCATTGACCCCATCAACCACACCTCACCGACCGGGCCCTGAGGTCCCTGAACCCACCGTGACCCCCAACGCATTGCAATCCATGTGCCAGTCCCATTGGTCGGTGGGCTAGCCACGCTTTGGATGAGATACATGTCATGGTGCGGTCGGGCGCGGTCAGGGTCGGACGTATTTCACACACGCCAAGAGAAACGGCTGACGCCCAGAACACGGGGATCTGGTTGGTGCAACCTGGAGACCTACTGAGATCAAATCGACATCGGCTAACACTTAGTACAAACGAATAGGACTGGAAGACGAGCTACATACATTTCTTAACCCCATTTTCAGTTGACACATCCATGTAAGCACCCTATAGGGCTCTTCTGTCCCATCTCCTCAGGTTCGGTGGTTATATAGCTTGTTCCTGCTACCCGGGCACCAAGCGTCGATCGAATTCGGTGCAGTTGGAGTTCAAATGGTGTTTTTATCCCTGGAAGATTACCATGGAACCTGCAAACCAGGGTTATATCCAGTCTTCCAGTCTGGTCTGGCTGTTGGAACCTTCACAACCATACTGGAAGATTACCAGGGGTTGGTTGTTTCAGAAAGCGAAACAGTCTTCCACCAGTCTGGTCGCCGGTTCGGTCCTCGGTTCAGTCTCCCGGTCACGGATGCAAGTGGGATCCCATCGGCAGGAGGCGGATCGATCGCTCCGTTCGTAGCGATGCCAGGAGCCCCGATCGTAGCTTCTTGCTCCTAGTTACCTAGTTCTTAGCTGGAAGGTGGCAAGCTTGCTTGGACATTGATCAGCCGACCATCCATTGATGGAATATATGCCGATCAATTGACCCCTTTTCAATCACCGTAAATGTAGATAAACATAATTTCTGCTAAAGCACTTTGACGTGCTGGAGGCTATATACTATCCAATTAGAATCATCCCGGCGTAGAGATCCAAAACCAATAATTAGAAAACTTCTTCAGGATGATTGTCAATCGTATGGTCTGAAACTACAGTTCAGGTCTAATGACCATTCTCTTTTGCAGGGGGAGGCGTGCCGTTTCATTTCAGAGTGAGTATATGATGTTGCCTGGGATGCCATTTCAGTCCGCAAACCAGTGATGGTCGGGAAGTCTCATCCGTCAACCCTCAAAAAGCACGAGAAAACTCATTGGGAAACCGGCAAAAAACGACAATCCCATGTCCAGTTTTGCACTTGCCTACTGAAAAGCAACAACAACAACAACAACAACATTCCTAGGTCAGTTTGTTGATCATCTCTCACAGTGAATCGACCACGCGATCACCATCACCAACCGCGAGGGATGTGGACTGCCCTCTCCTCCAGCCGGAGTGGCTTTGGTCGCCTGGTCAGACTCATCCTCAAGCCTCAGTGGACGGGCCGAGAGCTCGTCCTTCATAACCCAAACATTCCATGTCTACCACATTTGCCGATCAGGCTAGGGGTGGTTTGGGGGGGTCAATTGAAATGCATACATTCCAGTCCCATGGATGGTCTGGCTAATAGTCACAGGGATATGACACAACCCCCTAGACTCTAGTCTGGACCATTATGTACAAACGTGGATCTTAGAAACCACCACTCCTCTAACTGCGACAGGAAACAATACAAACAGAAGTGACATGCCCTTGACAACTATGCATTAAACGGATCTTGTGTCACTATTGATAGTGGTCAAGACGGTCATATAATGCGCTCTCGCTACGCCCCAAGTGAACAACCGATAAACATCGACTATACTCAGGGATGTTCATCTCCCATGTTTTTGGTGTATGGTACAAGGAATTAACAATGCAGTGCCAGTGCCAGGGCTGGGCAGCCCGGCCCTCCATCGCACCACAAGTCAGTTGGCACCCCGACCCCACGTCCCAAATGACTGTCAACACTTTGGGGAGGTTGGTCAAGTACTGGTCAAGCAGCCTTGGGTTCCGAAACCCCAGAATTTTTGCAGAATCCCATCTGAAGCAGAGGGCCCTTTGTTGGTGCCGAAAGATTCATCTATCGAGAGGGGAGACCCATCGACCGACCTCCCCGGCGATTTCGACCACCTGGGAAAGTGCGGACACACATCGACCAGCCAAACGCGAGGGTTTAGGGGTTTAGGGCTCTAGGCGAGAAAGGCGGGTCTCCCGGATTTACACCCATAGACTGCAGAAGCGTTCAGGACCACTAAAGACTTCTGGGTCAAAAAGCTGGGAGACGTCCTAGAGACCTCTCATGACTGGAGCGGAAAGAACGCAAGGGCCTGGCGCCAGGCGACATGGAAGTGGTAACCTGGGCCCTTTGCCCAAACAGGGTGGTTTCCTCTTCGAGCGTGAGTCGAAGTGTACTCAAACATGATCAACGCGACACGCGGCACCAAAGCATTGACATACAAAACCTTCCACTTGCCCATTTTACGCCCCCAAAAAATGCTCTATACAACCGCGGTACAGCATTATAAAGTTGGGACTTGTTGGCGGCCTGATTACCGGAGCGGTCGGTCTTAGCATATCTTTGCACAAACTTCGGATCTTCCTCAAAGACTCAGTTGTGACTTGTGACCGTTCATGTTTTTAAAGCTAAGGCTTGAGTATTCAGCAGTTGATGGGCGGCCAAAGTGCAGCAGCTTCTGAGTCTTGCCGACACCATTCAGCTCCATTCCCGCAATCTAAGCTGGATAGAAGTTTGGTGGTCTTGACTGTCGGACTGCATCTAAACACAAATCCCACACCCAAACCATCCATGCGACTGGCCTTATTTACCTACAGCGAGGTGGTTGAAAAGTGGTCAATGTCGGCATTTTTCGATACATGGATGGTCTGGTATGGATGGCTTGTGTTGAACAAGAAAACCTCTTGGTTTGGACAACAATGTCAGCTCAAGGTCAAGCAACTGTTACTTTTTGTTGTATCAGGTTATTGGAGAGTTTGAACATCTTGATCATAGCCAAGTTCTTGGTGTTCACCGTTTTATCCGAATCACATGTTGTGAATGTTTCTCATTGATAGTTGCCTGGAAATTCATCAACCTAAAGACCTAAGCTGGCCAGAAGCTCATAGTTTCAGCCTTTGTTGGATTGCAGCCGCCAGTGTTCTTTCAAATTGGTTGTTTCTGCAAATGGATCGATCGATAGGCGCAAAGCTGCGGGATCTATGATCTGTGAATTCTTCCTTGAGCGGCAGTTGCGGGATGTTGCAGGCACGAAGAGACCAACACATTGGAAGAAACAATTTGAATTTGTTTGGACCTGGAACCGTTCAATTCATCATATGGATGATTGAAAGGTCTGCTTCATGTTGGTTCTTACACTGGTGTTCAACCTTCCAAAACCAACAAGTGAGGTGACAAAGGGCAAAAATGAACAAATCTGGAAAATATAAAGGGTCTGGAATGTACCAAACCAAAAAAAAAACACAGGAACCTCTCTGGTGCTAGATACTGCGAAGTGTTTTCCAAGCTTAAATGGTACAACATCGAAACCGTTATTAACGTAAACAAGTACTGCAAACTGTCATGAACCATCTTTTGGTTCCTCCAGGTTCACTGTGACATGCCTCCGACTGGGACAGGTCGGAGGGGTTGGGGACGACCTCGCTGAGCACGGTTGACGTCCGAAGCCACTGTTGACCAAGATTGAATTGGCCCCCTCCTGACTGATAGAAAAGCTCCACCAACATGACTTGGGATAGTGAAAACCACGGTATTTACAATGTTTGGTGTTTCTAGCTGGTGTAACATTTCTGCTGCCGCAGTAGTTTTCGACATTTCACGGCATCATTTCGGGTGGGTGAAAACGACCTTCTCAGAAGATGGACCGGAGCCTTACGGATGTGCCTTGCTCATGTCTAAGCCCAAATCAAGAAACCCAATGAGGCCTGTTGTCTGAATAAGGGTCCATGTCCTCCGTGTTGTTTCCACCCTTTCAAGCAGGTGCCTTGCCAACCCGCAAATATACACATACATTAAAAGAGAAAGATCGTAACAAATTCTTATGTTGGGATGGTTCTTGGGGGTCCGAGACCCTTTCGCCCTCACTTGAGTTCATTTGAGATCTCAGCAAGGCGCTTGAGATCAACTCTCTTCAGTTCAGTTCCCATTCCATCCGACTCCAATTCGCACCTGCAGATCCCCCAGTGCCCGGGACATGGACAGCCCAGGGATGTCTTGACCTGCAAGGCTGGTGAGGCCCTGCTTGGTAAATCTGCCGACCCCAGTCTGGAACGATGAGCGTGAGCGGAGCGGGGCCGGCGTGTTCCTGAGAGGGACTTCGGCGAGCGATGGACAATGTCGTAATACTCGTCACGTTACCAAAAAGCTGCCCGAGAAATCACAAACGGTTAAATTCGATCTATAGGGTCGCCGCTGACCTGCCAAGTCTTTTTCGCGGGAAATGCGTTGCCCTGGATTTAATTTGACCTGGGGTTGGACTCCCCCTGACTTTGGATTCAGGTAGGGCACGCCAATAGGCCTATCAAAGGGACTATAATATCACTGTATTAGTAGCATGGGACGCCTCAAGAAAACAATGAAAGCCCTCACGACCCAGAGTACACCTTTTTAAAAAGGTTCATGAATGTGCGACCATTTCAACCATCATTAACCCTTTCAATACACACACTTTTTTCTTATTGGTTCGTGCATTCTACATGGCATTGAAACATTTCAATAACAGCTATTGGTTTAGACATCCATGTCAATGAAGGCTGCTTCAATAAGGATCACAGTCTGTTTCAAAAAGGGTGTTGTTGGTTTGTGACATTCACATCATGACGCTGTTTCACATCACGACGCAGCTAGAGAGCATGTATAGAGCCCAGAATGTCACAACCCTCAGTGCCTGAGTGGCCTCTCGCCCTGGTCAAGACCCAGAAAGGTGAGAACGCCGCCCTGTTTCAAGACTGAATCCCCAACCTGCCCATGTTTCTTGAGATACTCTGCCTGATCTGGCATGTGACCAACCAAATGGTGCTTAGGAACTGTGCTCCGCTGAAGCCACCCACTCTGAGTCTGCGCGGTGATCTTGAAGAGCCTTGTGTAGCGCAACGATTTGCGATCTGTATGGTGTTGGAACATGTTGGAACAGCTTCCAGGTGTCGTCATCCATCTGGAGGCCAGGGCCATCAACGGATCCACACCATCGAGGTGATGTAGCATTGGACGTCTGTGTTGGCTGTACTCATCACCATCCGAACTCTTTGGTGATCCCCAGCAACACTGCGACAAATATACGTTACACTCCCGAGTCAACTCACATAGACCCTGGCGTCCTGGTCCCATGGAAGACGATTTTCCTCTACCAACCAGGGGTTTTCAGGTTCCATGGGATCGTCGACCTCAGGGTGTATCTAATATGCCTTTTCTTTCTGGCCAGTGAGCTCTCGGAAGTGATCCTACTTGCTCTTTGGCTGACAAAACGTTGGCCATGCGCAAGCTCCGACCTGATTCAATCTGATGAAATGGTCCCTTGCTCCTTGTAGTGCTGTAGAACCTTCTTGTACAAGGCAACAAGATCCTGCTCATGTGACATGTGTGCCGCCCAGACCCTCAGGCTTCAAAACCAAATCATACATTATACATGGGCACTGCATGACTGGCCACTCCTTCCTCCAGGTTGTGCAGGGTGTCATGGTGGAATGAGTGGCCATTGAACCCAGGGATCATTTTGACCCTGTAGTCATTACGACGCAAAGAACCTTTGTCTGCATCGCAGCTGAAGCACATCTTGGTGTGGGAGTAACCAGCAAGCTTGAATTCATGTTGCAAAGATTCACCATCTGCAGATACTTGTAATAGCCAAGCCTTGGTGTGGGATGTCTGGAGAGGCATCCCAATTAGCTTTTGCCGTAGGGTCGGAATTCACAGATCTTGTGACGTGAGAAATGCTTGCTGGTATTTGCAGCCAATGACACAAAGAAGCGGGGTGTAAATTGACCACCCGGTTTTACTGTGAGAACGCAAGGACTCTCTTCACCAACAAACTCTCTTCCCCAATGTGTATGCAACACACAAACGGCGTGTACGCTCAAACATGCTTTGCATTTTGAAGATCCTTCCCAAAGCACACCCTACTGAAAAGATTCAATAAAGTTATTGATGTTATATAAATGCAATGATTGAAACAAGGTTCTTATTGAAACAAGACAATGACAATAACCTTATGGGTTTCTTCCAATGATGTTACAATTTTATTGGTTTGTTTCAATAACTTTTCCAGTACATCTCAATAAGCATGTGTTTGTTTATTTGCTTCAACAACTAGTTCAACAAAATAACGCAATATTTACCAAAGATCTCCACAGGCTGTTTCAATAACCCCTGGTTAGTTGCAGCAACTTCTGAATGTCAATGCCAGTGGTTTCATCGTTTGATGTCTGGCAGCTGGCAGCTGGTCACCCGCTTCGTCTCCCACGTCTCGTCCCGTTCCGCCTCGGAGGAAGACGCGCCGCGCATCGATCCCGGACACCCACATCGTCCGCACCTGCCGCGGCGTCCGTCGGACCGTGCGTGGGGCGGAAGCAAAACAGCTGGCCGTGCCTGGTTGGTGGCTTCAACGCAAGACCGATGAGGACCTGTGGGCGTCCATCTTTCAAAGTATAAGGGTTCAACTTAGTTGAAACATAGAGGTCAATGGATTGAAACATCCCAGGCTTTAATCACGCAAAAACATCTCCGAAACCACACCCGTCCCACGGTCCTGCGAGTGTCCCTGTTCTGTTCGTCTCAATGTCCACTTCCATTACACGTAAATAGAACGGACATCTTGACAAAAGAAGTCACCTGCACATGGCGCAAAGGCTGGGGGTGTATGGCTCCTCAGGCGAATCATTCAATGCTTCTGAACCAAGGTACTCAGGTGTTTCCAGCGAATTGTTTGTCCGGTTGGTGCAACATATCACTCGATGACATGCTGTGAACAATGCCGGTCTCATGACATCGTAGAACACCAACGGAGGTGACATACTCTGCAGGCCACCCAGTTCACAAAAACACAGGCAACGTATACGTACCCTATGGATCCACATACCTTCTGAGAAGGTGATTGGAGACTATTTATGTAGGCTTGGAGGGTCCAAGTACCTTCTGGATCCACTGGGGTATACTTCCACCAAAATATGTTTTTGTTTTTGTTGGTTCGTGAACACTGTGAAGTCCGAACACCGAACAGGCGGTCTCAGACCACAAACAGCTTGAAAGTCAAAAACAAAACAAAGTTCAGGGTTACAAAGTTCAGGGTTTAATAACTACCTAGGCAAGAGCAAACTGTTTCATGTCCAGTTTGCAATTGCCTTAGGTGATTGAACACACGAATTCTTCCACAGCTCCATCCTCCGCACGATGTGACTTCCGCAACCTCCAACTTCGGCGAGGTTGCGTTCCGGATGTTCGGCCTCACCACCCGCCGCGGTGACACGACCTCAGCCGGAGTTGTTACCAGGCCCCATGAAACAACCCCACATGATTGGGTGACTTTGGTGGTTCATGCATATACAAAAGTCATCAACAATATCAATATATAATATATATATATATTAATGATTTAATGTTTTGACAGAGAGAGAGAGAGAGAGCGAGATATACCTACAGGGACCATGATGGATACAGGGAGCATCTGTTGGGACAGCCCACAAGTGTGGGGAAACTCTTCCAGTCCAATATTATAAGGATGGTCTGGGGATGTTCAGTG